CAATCCTTTCCGAGCATGCAAGGTGTCATTACACATCAGACATCGCAGCAACATCAGATCGACAACGGATCAAAGTGACAACCAATAACGAAAGCAATTACGACGACTATGCAAAAATGACAAACATATTACTCCATCCAAATTCGTCCATCCCATACATGCAAAAGCAGGAAGACCGAGACAGAATGAGACATCATACAAGGACCAGTATCGAAACAGATGTGCCGAAGAGAAATGAGAGCGAATCGTTCGAGCCGAAATCAAAACTTATATACAAAACGAAAGGAAAAGAAAAGACAGAAAGTTGCAAATCCACGTCCATCAACCTCAACTCTCTCTCTCTCTCTCCGATGCGGACAGTCCGTCGTCGCGCACCAACCCACGAAGTCGTCACCCTGCTTAGTCCTCTTGCACCCGTTAGGTTCGCCCACGCGCTACAGTCCGTCGTAGCCCCACGCATCAACCCTGCGCATTCGGCACCAGCCCGTCGGGTCGCCCGACTCCCACTTCAACTCACCTCTTACTTCGCTCGTGAGCCAACCCTCACTGATCGCGCTACCCCGAGCTTCCAACAACTAGTTAAAAGAGCTATCTAATCGCGCAGCCGAAATTTATAGCGTGCATGCAAGCGCGAAGAACACGAAATTGCAAGGACTTAGAAAGGAGATTAGGAGAGGGAGCGCCTACGCTCTGCATGGCCAGACCGCGGCGTGGGGGACGTAGCCACTCTCCACGCGTCGACCCGATCATGCAGCCCGCGGGCTAAACATCCACAGCAAAAAAAAGAAAAGGAGAGGGCGGGAAAGACGAAGCTCAAGAAGGGGATACAGTTACAATGGCGCCTGTCCAAAAATTACAGTTACACACGAGATTAAGGGCGCCGACTAATCAGAGCTCCGTTGCAGCCGCAAAAAAGAAGCGCGCAAGAAAGACAACGAGCGACAAAAGAAATCTCGAATTCCTAAATTCCTAAATTCCTTAACTTGTTGTAAAAAGGACTTTAATAAAACGCTCCGAGAGCCATCGAGGCTTGACAAAATTCGAAAAAAGAAATTCAAAAAGAAGCAAAACTTCCCGCGCGACGTCCGCGCCTAAAAACCCGACAACAGAACAAGAGAGAAGCGACGTCAAACATTATCAATCGCGCCTTTGTCGGCGCGACAGCCACTCAATCAGCCATCTCAGGACTTGCCCGGCCCTGCACCCAGCCGGCCGAAAAGGAGCGACGAAAAAGAAAAGACGAAGAAGCGAGGACACTGATGCAATTTCCCTTCGATCCCGATCTCCTGTAATTGGCCCATCCTTTCCATCTCAGGACCCCTCATTGTCATCGCGCAGAAAATCGCGCGGAACAGAAATTGGTTCGTCACATATGTGACGCCCACGGGGTTCCAATCTTAAGCAAGCTCCCGCTTGCTTGAATCATGACACGTGTCAATCTCTCAAATCGATCGACACGTGGAATCTTCTTTGTTGCCACTTACCGTTTGATAAGAGTGTAGACGTCATCCAGGGTGGCACACGTGACTCTATCCTACAATTTCCTCAGGATGGGCTCTCTTCAGTCCAAGGAGGGGATCATGGATGCCATCGTCGTGTCATCCGTACATCAATGGCCTAAAGGAAGGGGAAAGGGAAGGTGATACATGGGGGCATGGCGAGGGGGTGGGTTAGTCGGGAGTGGGGGTAGAAAGCGTTCTAATCCCGCGACTGTCTCCGGAAGCTCCTGATATCGGATGATCCAATGGAAGCGAGGGAATTGATTACCACTTTGAGGAAGGGATGCGAGATAGTCCGGGTAAAGGGTGGTGAAAGTTCGGAAAAGCATCGTGCGAAAGTGATCGTGGTTTTTGCATGCGGGGATAGTCCCCGTGATGATGCAGTAAACCTCGACGATGTTGTGGCCTCGCCACACAGCACTGAAGAGAAGGGCGTGGAGACAAAAGACAGGGGTAGCACACCAGGTAGAAGGATGGGGATGAACCATGACCGCAAGACGGGTGGCGTAGAAAAAGCGGAAGGTGTCGATTGGGAAGGGATTGCAGGGGAAGGTGATGCGGTTGGTGAGGTGGTCAAGGGGACGACGGGATAAGGACCGGGGACGAAGCCCGATGCCCCGCATCGGTACGAGCTCGAACTGGTGGACAGGCGGAGGTGGAGGGGGAGGGGGATCAACTTCGTCGCCGTCGGGCCGGTGCGCTCGAAGTCTCGGCAGCAAGGTCCCCATCGTCGTTCTTGGGCGGCTCGGGATCCTTGGCTGGGTCGTTCGGGATCGGCAGATCCACTCCACTTGCGAGCTCCAGCGGCTGCTTCCTGACTGCGATCTCCTCTCTTCTTCGCGCCGCCTCGGGATCCTCCTCCTGAGGTTCTGAGCAATCCGCCTCTTCACCCAAAGTCTCCCACTCAGATTCCTCCTCTTCCTCCAACTGATCCTCTTCTTCTTGTTCTTGTTCTTGTTCTTCTTCTTCTTCTTCTTCCTCCTACTCTTCCTCATTGTATTCACTGTAACTCCTTTCTTCTTCCGAGGTTTCCTCTTCTTCCTCCTCGTCGCCTTCCTCTACGCCCTCTTCTTCTTCCTCCTCTAGCGTTAGCCCTTCGTCTTCAGAGGCCGTTCGAGGCTGAAAGAAGGCGAGGTCGATTATCCTCCGCGGGTCCAGGTACTCTCGTTGCGATGGCGGGTTGTTGTTACTTCCTTGCTCTTCGAGGCAGGCCGACCATTGTAGATAGGGCGTCAAAGTTCATGAAAGGACGTGCGGGACCGGGGTCTCGTCGCACTGCGAAACGATATCGAGAGGGAGATCGTCGACCAGCTGCGTGAGGGGAGTCGTGAGCTCCTGTACGATCTGCTGCCGATGGTCGGGTCGCACTGATCCGAATAGAAACCCGAGAAGGTCTCCTTCCACCTCCGTTCTCCAAGCTTGGATGATCAACAGCTCCACGTATGCGATCCAGGCGCGGTGCTCTATGTCCCTCGTCCACATCAGCTGCACCCCAACCAGAAACACCGAAAGATCGACAAAGTGTTCGCACCACAGTTCCCACTGTCTTCGATCGAGGAGGGGAACAGCGAGTGATTCCAGACAAAAAGAGAGACGGGGGCAAAGATCAGACTGCCAGAAGGTAGGGAAGAGAGAGGGGAGAGCGAAGGTAGAGAGCCGGGAGCGGTTCATTGAGAACGCTGAAAGGGAACGAGCTCCGGGAGCACCACCGCCGGCTCGTGGCGAGACCTTCGGAGCCCTCCGACGTCGATGTCGTCCGTGGGGACAAGATTATTGCCGCGGCGCGTAAGCCACTGATTCCACTCTGCTGCCAGCTGCTGACCCCACTCCCTTAGCGACGTCCGGATGGTCGTGTGTCGTAGAGGGCTGATCGCGCTAATGTCACCGCTGAAGATGACGACGATAGATACGTGGCTAACTCCCGACGCTGACAGCCGTCGAACCGCCATCGCCTCTGCCAATACGATCGCTTGCCGATGGCCCGTGAATCGGAACTCCGCCGCTGCGTACACCCCGGTAGTGCTGAAGAACTGCGCGAGCCGTAGAAGGTCTGGATTGAATCGCGGGTGATGAACTTGCCGAATTGCCGAGATGTCACCAGGTGGCGCCAGCATGTGATCGCCGAGAGCCCGCTCGGTGAGAAAACTCATGGCGATGGCAACAAGGACGGAGTAAGAGAAGCAGGAGGGGACGAGAGCGATAGGAATCGTCGTCCTCCTCTGTAGCAAAGGAGGAAGAAGACACAACTGGTGATGGAGAGAAAGGGAGAAGACGTAGGTAGGACACGTGGCGGACGATCGGTCGAGCCGATCGGCTTCCCGAGACCTTCGGCACGAGGTGCACGGTGTTCACTCCATTCGGGCCGAGTTCGATCACACGAAATCGCCCGAAGAATCGTGGCACTATCTTCCCTTGGCGAGCACATTTCCTCACCTGCACCAGGTCCCCTAATTTATACAGGGGCCGTGGTCCTGTGTTCCCATTTCGGGCCTCGTAGCTATGGACCTGTCGGTCGTGGGCCAACTCAGTCATTTTCTGGCGCTTTCGGGCTAATCGGGGAAGGGACCGTTCCATCAGCTCCATGTGCCGCTTGGCCTTGTCCCGAACCGTGGCCCTTGTGGGTCGTCGGTTCAATGAAGATTCATCGGGGAGGCCCGATATGGAAACACAAGCTACGCTATTGGTTCGTAATTGGAAGGGGCTAAGGTCCGTTGATTCGTGAGGCGTTCCTCGATGGACCGCCAAGATGTGATCTATGATGTCGGGCCAGGGCCTCGGATCCCATACCGCGATGTTTCGTCACAACGTTGTCTTTATCACCCGATTTGCGTTTTCTACTAGTCCATTAGACTGTGACATGCGGGGTGCAGTGTTCCGAATGGCGATGCCATGTAAGACCAGATTCCTTAAAACTTCCCTTTTGAATTCTACCCCATTGTCGGTCAGGATTTCCTCCGTGTCCTGATGCATCCCTAAAAACCGATTGACGTATCGCGCAATTTCAGCTGCCTGTCGTGTACGACACGGATATGCCTCAATCCATTTCGAAAAATGGTCTACAAATACTAGTGGGATTGAATACTCGCAGTTATTAGGTCCAGGGGGCACCACAATATCGGTAGTACCCATACTAATCCTTTGAAAAGGCCCTTCGACCACCGTTGGCACTATCGATCTTGGTGGCTGAATCGGCGCCTTGTCGGCAGCACAGACCTGACAGTTTGCGATGATGAACTTCACATCATCGCGAATATTGGACCAATACCACTTATTCTTGTCAATGGCCGCTTCCGTGATCCGCACGACAAAATGGGCTGCAGTTTCCTCATGCACCGTCTTAACCCAGTCATACCTCACGAACGGATGCGGCACTACCATCCAAATTCCGCTACCATCCGTCTTTCGTTTTTCCAACCGTCCTTCGTTCCAGCGATAGTCCCGAGCCCTTTCATTGGCCCTCCTCCGGTCCTCTTTAGCTATTAGAGCGATATCCGTCCATACCTCGGCCCTTCTAAACTTCCGGGTCTTTTCCAACCCTTCTGACGTGGCGTCGAGAAATCGAGCCTCAGTCGGGATCTTATCAGCCCGACACAAGGGACACAACCACGACTTGTTGCCATTTCTGTACTGGATGCACGAGCCATGGGCTCGTGCCACACACTGCCGACAATCTATCCACTCCGCATATCCCTCCCCACTAGGACACATAGGGACCGAGTAGACACGTGAAATTGCTTCGCAAAAATAACAAAATTTGTCGGGTAGGGAGAGATGAGATGAGGATGAGAGGGGAGAGAGGGGAGTCATAAGATTACCTCCGTCACCCATTGCCAATTGCCTGCTTCTTGCCATGTGGAAGGACTACCACTTGTCCGTACTTGGGTCCGTTCACTGACTCCGGTTCCTTCCACGGAATGATTTCTTCACCCTTAGGTACCTTAGAGGGGTGATGCAGACGTGTCAACCCGTCCGCGTTGCCGTGCCTCTCCGTCTTTCGATGGATGATGTCGAAGTCGTATTCCTGCAGACGCACCGCCCACCGTCCAATCATACCCGTGTAATTAGTGAGCTTCTTGAGAGCCAATAATGGCTCGTGATCGGTCACAAGGAGGAACTTATGTCCGTACAAGTACAGATGGAAGTGTTGGATTCCCCAGACCACTGCGTAGCATTCGCCCTGCGGGGCCGAATTGTTTCTTCGTTCGTCCGGCACGTGATAAGAATGAACTGCTTCGTAGGGTCCGGTCGGATCAAAATAGGTGTCGTCGCTAGGGCGTCCTTGAGGGTGGCGAAGGCATGTTCGCACTCTGCATCCCAGCTGAGGGGCTGGTCCTTCCGTAGTAGGTTTGTTAGAGGCCGCGCGATTCCGGCGAAACCCTTGATGAAGCGATGATAGTACGATGCCAGCCCAGAAAGGCTCGAACTTGCGTCAATGACGTGGGGACAGGGACGTCCTTCACCTCCGCGACCTTTCTCGAGTCCGGCCGCAGTCCTCTACGTGTCACCACGTAACCCAAGAACGAGATTTCCGAAAGAAAAAACTCGCTTTTCTCGAGCGCGATCTTGAACCCAGCATCTCTCAGAGCTCCCAGTGTCCATTCGATCCGCTGTGCATGCCCGTGAAAGGTCTCCGAGTAGACGAGGATGTCGTCCATGTACACGATGACGCAGAAATTAATCATCCCCTGAGTGAGCCGCGTCTTGTTGACAAAGTTCTGGAACGTCATGTTCATAGCCCGTTGAAATGTGGCAGGCACGTTGCAAATCCCCATCGGACATCGAACCCACTGCCACGTGCCTTCAAATAATACGAAGGCCGTTTTTTGCCGATCTTCCTCCTTAACCAGGATGTGATGAAAACCGTGGCGAATATCAAATTTACTGAAATAATTAGCACATCCAATCGCATCCAGCAAATCATCAATCCTGGGAAGGGGGTACACATCTTTAATCGTGATGTCATTCAACTTGTGATAATCAATGCATATGCGAATCGATCCATTCTTTTCTGGCACCAATACTACTGGGAACGACCATGGCCCGGTGGAGGGTTCGATCCAAACGTTAGCTTCGAATTCTCGAATCCGCTCAAGGGTCGTTTTTCGTTCCACCAGGGAGTATCTGTAGGGCTTACAATGAATCGGGGGATGGTTTCCGGTTTGAATCTCGTGCTGCATGACTAATGACAGCCCAATGTCTGTGTCCATCAGACTAATCGCTCCCTTGTAGTCTTTTAGAATTTCCGCGATGAGATGATGGATCTCATCAGGTACGTATTGGGGCACGTGCAACTCGTACAGCTCATCCCATATCCGTACATCGAGGTGTTTCATACTCACCTGCTTAGTGTTTTCGGGGGGGGGCGCGGAAATAAACGAATTATCCGACCGCCAGGAGAATACGGTGGCCATCATCTGTGCATCCTGTTCTCGAATGGCCACGTGTTCTTCCGGTGTTATTCCGTCTCGAATGTCCTTCCATGGCACGGGTTTCATTGCGATTTTAATTCCGAGTCCGGTTTCGAGGCGCTCAGGGGGTTCCAAAGAATTGGTCTCCGCCCCTAAACATATCAATCGTATCTCTTTTGCAGGTGTCAAAAGAGATCGTGGAAGATTCGTGATGTCGCAGTAGCGTCTTTTGTCATTATATCGTGCGAGTAAAGGGGAGACGCCTTTGTATAGGGTTCGAGGGGGTTCCAAAGAATCGACCATCCTCGAAATCTGCACGAGGGGTTCACCCATAATCATGGCTTGCGCTCTCTGTAGACTCTTATCAGTTAGGCTTAGCGATCTTATGTTTGCTCGTTGCACAGGATAATGGATACGCTGTTGTGCCATCTCCAGGATCACTGGATCATCCTCGTCGCTGCTGTCCGTGTCCTTTGACGGTTGCCCGTCGTCTGTGGAGTTATCCCAGGTGATTACGCGGAGGGTTCCCGCCATCATGGGAGAAACTTGTGGAGTTACGTTAGTGGTGGTACGAAGGGTCAATCTCATCGGTACAACGTAAGGTTTTCCTCCTCTATTTCGGAGGACAATCGATCGTGTATCGAAATCCAGATTGGCTCGCAAGGCCACAAGAGTGGGAAGGCCGAAAAGGACGTCGTAAGTGTTTACGTCTAAGACTTCGACATCTCCCAAAGCATGTACCTTCCCTAATCGAAAAGCAACATTGGTCATCCATCCCACCGTTTTAATCTTCTCCTCATCCGCTGAAGCGAGCTGTTCTTTCTCCGTAAGCATGATTAGATCGTTCTTTCTCCCGACCCTTTCAACTACCCGTAACGAGATAGCCAACACAGCGGCTCGATAATCGATAATGGCATTGTACGGGATTCCCCATATCTCGATATCGCATTCGGCGGATTTCCAAGGGATTGGTTTGATTCGCAGGAAGTGATCATCCTTCTAGATCAATCCTAACCGTATTGGGTCTGGAGCTCCGACAACTTTTTCATCTTGTGTTGGACTTTTTGCTTTCGTGTTCACTGTTCGGGCGAGGGCGAATCGTTTCCGATTCGCCTTGCAATGTTGCAGCATCCGTTCGTTGGCTTGTTCCGATATCGAAAGTAGATGTCCAATCGGAAGAGGAATCCGATGATCCAAGGCTCGAACGATGTTCAAAACATCGATCTCCCCAGTGATGAAGGTGGGTCCTCCCGACTCCTCCCCTGGAGAAGGTCGCCACTCTGCCACTTCTCTTGGTTCTGGCGCTGCTTTAATCATTCCAATCATTCCAAGCCCCGGATATCCGAGCGTTACGTACTGATCCAATGGGATTAATTCAGCAGTTTCCTCCATCGTAGCTAATGTGTTTCTGCCTCCTTCCATTTCTTCCATCAGTGCCGTTACTCGTCCCGGCCCGTTAGCGGTCGGCGCTGCTGCTACAGGTGCAGCCCCGACTCGTGGCTGTGGGGGTCGATGAGGGCAATCTTGGGCTATATGCCCTGGTTGGTGACACGTGTAACAGACGTTCGGATTGCCAGGGATCTCTGCAGGAGGCGGTGCCGAAGCCAGTCCGTGTTGAAGCGGCGCGGCACGCACCGCTATTGGTCGCATCGACCTCATCATCGCCTCTATTCGAGCATTGTGTTCCCGCTGTTCCTTTTTGCTTTCCTGAATCAGGGTAACCAGTGTCTTGGTTAGTTCTAATAGGGCAGAAGACTCATTCCGTCGTGGGGGACTTTCGATCGGTGGTGGGGGTGTTGTCATCACGGGCACGAGCATGCTCGTGATCACACTCGGGGTGGGTCGTTTGGGGGTAATCTGTTCTAGATAGGTGACCGGGCTGGACACAAACCCCATGTTTCAAATTTGTTCTGTAGTGCAGCCAACTCAGCTTTAGCTCTCGATAGTTCGGACGAGTCTCCTTCCCTAGGATAGTCTTCCCCTTCTAGGAAACTCGCAGCGAATTTTCATTCCATTTCCTCTGCAGCTGCCATGATTTGTTGCAGCGTGTGATTGATGGGGGAGAACTTGTTTTCGCAGTTTCACCCTCATCGTTCGGCTGCGAAGTCCGTCGATGAACAAATCTCTGCCTACCTGTTCACCTCGTTCTGTTTTTACGAACATCCTGTAGAACCGGTTTCGATACTCGGTAACAGATTCGAGGGGTTTTTGAACTCGGTCTTTAATCATAAAAAGAGCCTGTTCAGGGTGGAAAATCAAATCGGTTCAGAAAATCTCGCTCGAATGTCGGGAGATCCACCCATACATAGGTGCTAAACCAATGATGAGCGTCTCCTCCCAATCGAGCGGGAATGTTCACCTGTGCCTCATTATCATCGTACTGCTGAGCTCGGAGTGTGGCCAGCCATGCTCCGACGAGATGATGTGCAGGGTCAAACAGATAGAGATCGGGTGGCGTCATGGGAGCCCAAGCTTGTGGTACGGGTTGATTAGGATTCTGTTGTGGATTCGGATTCTGTTAGGGGTTCTGTTGATTAGCGTTCATGTTGACCGCCCGTCGAGCCGCAGACCGGCTTCGGGTGACGACGGGATTGCGTCGATGCGCGTTCCGGGGTCGAGGTCGTCCCCTGTTAACCAGGTCGCCCAGCTATGAGTCCTAGAACCCTGCCGCGTGTCGGGCTCCGATACCAACCTCACGCCCGGCGTGACTTCCTGATCGGAGTGGGATGTGGGCCTGGAAGTGCGAGAAGGGGTGTGCCAAGGATTTTTGGGGAAAGTGGGGGTGGAGTCCCAGGTCGGAACTGAGATCTCTTGTGGCAAAGTTTCAGGGGCATAGATGCAATAGAGCTAAGGGGGCGAGTTACTTCCGTTCTGATGGCGGTCGGGGTCGTGCAGCCTAAGGCAGATGGCATGCGCGGTGCATTCAAGGCCGTCCGATCCGTCTGTTTTGGTGGCGGCGGTTCGGGGAGAAGCCCGCCCGGGATGGTTGTGATTCTGGTGAGTCGGACCTCCGGGTGCAGACACGTGGCGTCTGTCGTCGTGCGTTTTGGTTAGGCCCCGTAGTTTCAGAGGCTCGTCGGTTGCCGCGTCGCCTGCAATTTCTTTAAGGCATGCGGGGCCAATACGGGGCGATGGAATTTCACGGAACCACTGTGAGTTGGTGATACGGAAGGAGGAGACGGAAGTGAGGGAAATTGGTAGCGATAACGATGAAGCCGGAGGATATGAAGTATTGCGTGTTATCCGTGGTGGGAAAATCGGGGCACCTTGGATCGCTGGTTATGGCACAGTGAAACTCTCTGGGGCACAATCGATTATCGGTTAGGCAGGGGAATTCCGGGTGTCTTTGCCTAAGACATTCTCTCACCCAAGGCTCAAAGTACTCCGGGTCACTCCGGGTCCCATGTGTCCGACATCTTGTCATTGCGGCATAGTTAGTGAACGCGAATCGCCGCGCGTGGACATGTGTAGGCCGCGCAATTCCGATTGCGCTTATGCGTATCCACGCGAGGTGTTTGCGTGCACCCGGGCCTATTGGCTACCAAAGTGAGATTTCAATCCCTCCTGCAAAAAGCGTCCCCTGTCCGGGATGCTACCCAATCATCTAATCACTCAACAATCCTTTCCGAGCATGCAAGGTGTCATTACACATCAGACATCGCAACAACATCAGATCGACAACGGATCAAAGTGACACGCAATAACGAAAGCAATTACGACGACTATGAAAAAACGACAAACATATTACTCCATCCAAATTCGTCCATCCCATACATGCAAAAGTGGGAAGACCGAGACAGAATGAGACATCATACAAGGACCAGTATCGAAACAGATGTGCCGAAGAGAAATGAGAGCGAATCGTTTGAGCCGAAATCAAAACTTATATACAAAATGAAAGGAAAAGAAAAGACAAAGAAAGTTGCGAATCCACGTCCATCAACCTCAACTCTCTCTCTCTCTCTCCGATGCAGACAGTCCGTCGTCGCGCACCAACCCACGAAGTCGTCACCCCGCTTAGTCCTCCTGCACCCGTCAGGTTCGCCTGCGCGCTACAGTCTGTCGTAGCCCCGCGCGTCAACCCCGCGCATTCGGCACCAGCCCGTCGGGTCGCCCGACTCCCACTTCAACTCACCTCTTACTTCGCTCGTGAGCCGGCCCTCACTGATCGTGCTACCCCGAGCTTCCAACAACTGGTTAAGAGAGCTATCTAATCGCGCAGCCGAAATTTATAGCGTGCATGCAAGCGCGAAGAACACGGAATTGCAAGGACTTAGAAAGGAGATTAGGAGAGGGAGCGCCTACGCTCTGCATGGCCAGACCGCGGCGTGGGGGACATAGCCACTCTCCACGCGTCGATCCGATCATGCAGCCTGCGGGCTAGACATCCACAGGAAAAAAAAGAAAAGGAGAGGGCGGGAAAGACGAAGCTCAAGAAGGGGGATACAGTTACAATGGCGCCTGTCCAAAAATTACAGTTACACACGAGATTAAGGGCGCCGACTAATCAGAGCTCCGCTGCAGCCGCAAAAAAGAAGCGCGCAAGAAAGACAACGAGCGGCAAAAGAAATCCCGAATTCCTAAATTCCTAAATTACTAAACTTATTGCAAAAAGAACTTTAATCAAACGCAAATTCCGAAAGGAAAGTCCGAAATTCCGAGAGCCATCGGGGCTCGACAAAATTCGAAAAAAGAAATTAAAAAAGAAGCAAAACTTCCCGCGCGACCTCAGCGCCTAAAAACCCGACAACAAAACAAGAGAGAAGCGACGTCAAACATTATCAATCGCGCCTTTGTCGGCGCGACAGCCACGCAGTCGGCCATCTCGGGACTTGCCCGGCCCTGCACCCAGCCTTCCGAAAAGGAGCGACGAAAAAGAAAAGACGAAGAAGCGAGGACACCGATGCAATTTCCCTTCGATCCCGATCTCCCGTAATTGGCCCATCCTTCCCATCTTAGGACCCCTCATTGTCATCGCGCAGAAAATCGCGCGGAACAGAAATTGGTTCGTCACAGCCCGTCGAAGTGTTGTCGTCCCAAGCTGCAGAGTCACCACGTTCCCTCCATCGCTATGTTCTTGGCGCATGTCACAGCAGGTCGCCGTTGCCATCCCAGCGGAGGTCACCCAT